GTTGCCAATGTTTACATCAGTCTCACCAGATTTCTTGTCCAATTCTGCCACAAATCTCACCATAGTCTTCGTCACTTTGACCCTACAAGATTCAGCCCTCAGTTTCTCTCTCTACAGGTGCTGCCAGACCTGCTGAGTTTCTCTACCATTTTCTGTTTCTATTTCATATTTCCAGTGTCTGTAGTATTCTGCTTTTATTTAGGCAAAAGATAAAGAGTATCTAGGCCTGGTTTTGACCCGGTTCATCACGGTTCTGCACGCTAATGAAACTTTCGGTGTTTGACCTCGGTTTTCAGGAGACTATGCCCAAAAATATGAATTTCAGTAACCACCTAAACCATAAATACAACACTGCTGAAGACCACTTTCCACTGTGTCAATCCTCATAGTAAAATCAATAACCATGGTAAAAATAACTCATTGTAACAGTTAGAACCCCAGAGTGAGGTAATAGGAACTGCAGATGCTGGAGAATCTGAGATAACAAAGGTGTAGAGCTGGATGTTCACAGCAGGCCAAGCAGCATCACAGGAGCAGGAAGGCTGACGTTTCGGGCCTAGACCCTTCATCAGAAATGGAGGAGGGGAAGGGAGTTCTGAAATGAATAGGGAGAGAGGGGGAGGCGGATAGAAGATGGATAGAGAAGATGGGTGGAGAGGAAACAGACAGGTCAGAGAGGCGGGGATGGAGCCAGTAAAGGTGAGTGTAGGTGGAGAGGTAGGGAGGAGATAGGTCAGTCCAGGGAGGACAGACAGGTCAAGGGGGCGGGATGAGGTTAGTAGGTAGGAGATGGGGGTGCGGCTTGAGGTGGGAGGAGGGGATAGGTGGGAGGAAGAACAGGTTAGGGAGGTGGGGATGAGCTGGGCTGGTTTTGGGATGTGGTAGGGGGAGGGGAGATTTTGAAGCTTGTGAAATCCACATTGATACCATTGGGCTGCAGGGTTCCCAAGTGGAATATGAGTTGCTGTTCCTGCAACCTTCAGGTGGCATCGTTGTGGCACTGCAGGAGGCCCAGGATGGACATGTTGTCTGAGGAATGGGAGGGGGAGCTGAAATGGTTCGCGACTGGGAGGTGCAGTTGTTTATTGCGATCCGAGCATAGGTGTTCTGCAAAGCAGTCCCCAAGCCTCCGCTTGGTTTCCCCGATGTAGAGGAGGCCACAAC